TAACGTATTTTATACTAAGTATGTATTATATTTAATTTACAAAAGAATCGTTTACTAAAGTATGTTTTAAATAGTTAGCACATTTTTTCTATCTTATTATATAGTAATTTTTCTTCTACCTTAAAATAAACAACAAGTGAAATTGTAGGAAAAAAATGACTTTCAAAATGTTCTTACCGTTGTCAGTTATTTTTTAAGTTTGCCCAGAAACAATAAATATCATGCAAGTGAATAAAAGTTTCAATATGTAATTTAATTATAAAAATTTCAAAATTGGTTAAAAAACTATTCAAATCATCCAGAATTTAAAAAAAGTGTTTTTTAATATTGCGAAAAATACACAGTTAAAAGTTCTCATTTTATATACCAAGAAGTAAAAGTTTACAGAATTAAATTAATTTTGATACAAAGTTAATAGGACTTTAAGTGTATAGGACTGATAAAATCTATAATACTGTATTTTATACTCTTTGATATTTTAAATGATCAAAATTTCTATAAAAATTATTTTACTACAAATAAAAATAAGTACTAAATATAAAATTTTATTATAAAAAATTTAAACTTTATTGTAAAATATTTAAATTCTGAACTTTAAATCTCCAGGATGAAAAATCGTGTTCTATAGATTTTACCAAAAAAGAAGTATTTTTGAAAATTTTTACTCAACAAAGTTTTGGAAACCCAAAAAGTAGTAACTTATCAGATTTATTTAAAGTTGCTATTTAGATGAATGAGGCGAATTTGTATTTGAATCTATGTTTTAATCAAAAGTTTTCAAATATACAAATTGCGCTATTTTTTTACTGTTATATGGTAATAATAACAATAAAATCCTTCGGTATATTTTATACCACCAGAAAAGGTCACTCTAGTTTGTTCCAAGTATTAACATTTGATATTCTTCTCTACGAGTAGTGTGTTATTTTGTTTTAGAATTTTACACTTTAAAATTATATGATTTTACAACTGTATAGAATGTCCTTTGAAAGTGCTTGCTTCGCACATGGTTGAAATTCTTTAAAGAAATGTCAAAGGACTAATGTTATCACATGATAAAATATCACATTTCGAAATCACTTCAGAAATCGAAAAGCAGATAAATAAAATTTCTAACGTTAAAATCAGAGTCTTTGCAAAGTGAACGTATTTCTTAAAATATATACATTTATTTATTTTATCAGTCAATAAATCTACTAAATTTGTTTTATTTTGCATATGAAATATTTGCATTATCTCCTTATCAAAATAAATGATCAATAGAAACGGATAAGTTACTTCCCATAAACTAAAGAATTTATAATAAATAAAGCATAAAAGCAGGATGCAAACCAGTTCATTTTGTGTTTGCGATAATTAAAATTGGAATAATTTGTTTTTACAATTACAAATACGATTATCGTTTCGTAACTTTTCTGTTCCTTTTTGTTAAGACTTTGTATATTTACGAAAAACAGTTTCGCGTTATATTGATCTTATTTTTAAATTTATTTTAACTTCTTTATTATACTGAGACGAATGAGTTTATTGATCTGATATAAACGGATTTTTTTACATAAACAATTGGTAAGTGAAGGATTTATGATTCTTTTAATCATGTAAATAAATAGAAATTTGTGTTAATGACCAATCATTTTTTCTAAAATATTGTGTAAAAGACTTTATTCTACTCTTGAAGTAAAGGTAAACCAATAATACGGCGAGTGTTTTTATTTATTGTCAAATTATAATTAATCAATAGAGATGTATATGCAGTTATATAGGAATAAATACTTGGATAATTATAAAGTATCTAGCTATTTTCTTTATGTATAGAATTTTCTACAACTCAATAATTTACCTGAAAGCTTGGAGTCTGCACTAATACATTAAGAAATAGTGCGTATTTTATTTTAAATATACGCCATAAATTTTATTTCGATGAGATTTTATAAAAACGTGTCTGGAAGAATAGAAATTGAAGTGAAAATCAGCGTGAAATAAAATTCTGGTAATAAAATATATATTAACATATATGTTTTCACTCAGTAACAATTCCAAATACTATACACACAAAACCACATATATATTTTTGAGGTTTTTTACATATTTGAACTGATTTCTAATGATTGGGCATTACATAAAAATATTTATGCATATTTTTCTAAAAAAATCATATGCCTCGAAAGAAGCATTTCTCAATCATATTAAAAAAAATCATAAATAGTGTATGAAATTAATTAAATTTTAGGTTGGGGAAAAATTCCATTAATTTTTGCATGCTGAATTTTGAATTTTTTGCAAAAATAATGGATTTGTTTTTTCCCGAACTAATATTTAATTAAAAACATATACTATTTATAAATATCTTCAAACTAATAAAGAATTACTTATACATTTAATTAGGGAATTGCATCTGATACGTGAATACATGGATGTTAGTAATGTAAATAAGCTCGTTTGAAAAATGGTAATATTTCTATTACAATAACTCTAATTATTAAATGATATTTTTTGAATTAAATTCTAATGTTTAAAATTAAATTCATTTGCTCATTTCGGAACTTTAAAACTGTAAATCTATTGTTTCAAATAAAAATTGTCTAGTCGAGAATTTTGCTGAGAGTTGCCTTATACAATTAGGTGATTATCATAAAGATCAATTAAAACTTCTCAATTCTTTCACAATTTTTACTATTTTTTATATTTTTTTTGTTACTATATTAAATAAGTTGACAGAAATTATGATATTAGAGTTTTTATTCATAACCGTTTTTGCTGTAGCATTTAACCAAATAGAACATTTTCAAATTTGGCTTATTTCTTCTATATCCTATACTAATAAATTATTCTAGAAGCACAATTTATCAAGTCTATATCAATTTTATTTTTGTACAAAGTACACGACCAGGGTTCGACCTGAGTACCCTCGTATCTTCAAAATTCTTCAAATTTGAAATTATTAAATGAGTTTGGAGGGTTTCATGCCCGTAACCGTTTCATATCACCTGAAACCTTAGTGTCGATATAACCTTGCCCTAGTCTATAAATTTCTAATTGCTCCACAAATAGAATATGGTGAATTTATATTAATTCGCGTGTTAATAGAGTATGTAGATATTTAAAGAGCAGTGAGCAATCGTAATTAAAGGCGATGCATGTTCTGGTAATTCAATGCCGCTTATGTTTTGAGTTGTGTCTCACAAAAACAGCTAAAAGTACAAACGACTCCGTTTGTAACGCCAAGTGCAACGTTTATTAAATCACATAGTGGAGTAGCTCATAATAAACATTTTCATAATACATATATAATTCACAAAATTTAATAGAAGTACTATTAGATTTTTCCTACGTATCTAACTTCATTATATTGAGATCTATTCCTTTAATATTTTACTGCTTGATATAGAGCTGACCGATCGAACTCGGGACTTGTTTTGCGAGCAATTTTCTTAATCATTACATCACGACGAGCTCACAATTTATTAGAATAATTAAAGTCATTAAACACATTTCTGTAAGAACTGCAACAATTCCAAAATCTTTTTTTTTTTTTTTAATTTCAATAGTTATTACAACTGTTAAATTATTAACATCTAGTAATATATATAAAAAATAATAACATACATTTAAATAAATAAAAGTGCAAAAGATAAAATTTACATGAAAATAATATCCGTAATATGATTTGATATAAAATATAAGCAAATAATAATAAAAATAAAATTAATAAATAAAATAAATAAAAATTATTAGTCCAAAATCTAATTGTTTTAAATAAACTAACCGTAATTTTTACGCAGGACATTTTAGAATATTCAGAACTATCTGATTAAAATATTCTTCTAATTATATTACTTTGAAAAAAACAGCAAAGAATTATATTTTTAATATTAGTAGTATTTTTAACATCCCGTAGGGTAAGTTATGGTAATCGCAAAAAAATCTAAAATGAAATTTTTTTTTATCTTTATGTTTCAAAGGTTTCTGAACATTTTGGCATACCTCAGAAAAAATTGATGTGTGTGTGTGTTTTGTATTTTCGGGCGCACGGATCAACCGATTTGAATGGTTAAAAAAACATTCGATTCATATTGATAGGGAGATGTACTGATTAGTTTTTGGCTAAGGCAGTTCCAGCCGTTACGGAGATACGAAGCAAAAAGTGCAAAAAATAGAAATCGAGTTTTTGAGAGAACAGAAAAATCCGATTTGAATGATCCAAAAAACATTCAATTTGTAATGATTGGGAAAAGTTGTGTTTAGTTTTTGGCAAAGGAAGGTCTTGCCACTTCGAAGATACAGATCTAAATGTACAAAAAATTGCAGTTTTTCGAGAGAACTAAGCATCCGATTTAAATGACTCAAAAAACTTTCTGCTTGTGGTGACAAAACAATTGCTTTTGGATTTTTTTCTCAATTTTTTTTCCAAAATTTTGTATATCGAAAATAATTAAGATTTTAATTTTAATTCTGGCTAAAGTTCTCAAGCTCACTTATATCTTTAAATAAATAATTTTATATTTGTAATTCAGTTTATATGATTTTTATAAATATTAGAAAATGTTATAGTACTTATAATAATCCATTTGAAAACATTTAACTTTCTTCGAATTTTTTGTTACGGTACGGGAAGTACCAGCAATTTGTCATAAGTCATAACATGCCATACACCACTAGTTTTTTATTATCATTGATTATCAAATTAATTATCAATTATTATTAATCAACAAGCTTTATATTAATTTAGTCTCTTGTATAAAATTATGTTTGGTTCTCTGATAGTAAAACTTGCTTTGAGGAAAGAAAATTTAATATGAAATTATATGTTTAAACTATTAACAACAAAATGCCAGCATTTTTTTTTAATTTATTCATATAATTCTAACTTTTTAAAACGTACAATAAATTACAATAATATGTATTTTGTTAGCAAAAGGCTTTAGTAACAATGCATAATCACTTTATAAATTTGGAATAGTTATAACTTGTAGAATATTTTTTTATTACACAATTTTCCTTTACAACTCATCTTTTTCATTTATGAGTATATCAAAAAGATCATCAATGTCATCTTCAGGTAATGATCCATCTTTTCCATCCCAAGGTTTGACAGAATGTATTAAATGCCCTCTCACTTTCTTAATTGGCGCCGGCTGAACACGACCATGGGAAAAATCGTTCAAAAATTCATTTATTTCATTTTGTGAGAATCGGTTTGTTAGTAAGGCGTATTTCTTTGTTGTAAGGTTTACTACAGCCATAGCAGGATATCCTTTGATTTCTAGAACTTCCTCGACAGTAGGTTGAGCGCCAGCTCTTGTCCAAAGCCATCCCCACATTTTTTGTTTGAACTTTTCACCCATAGTTTTTAGTAGTGTAATGTATTTATTGCGGCATGCTGCATTACAGTCATAAATATGAGGTAGAATTGAAACTATACATAAAGGAGTCTTCAGACAGGTTTTGGAAGCTACTTCTTCATTAATCAGTTCAACAATTTCTGGAGCAGGAATCATTTCTGAAAATTTATCATGTACCCAAGTAACGATGTCGTGGGTAGTTATACCATCATCGTATTCTGAGACAGAATAGGGATGTTTTTTGCCTGGTGCAAAGAATTTAATTGTGGGATAACTTTGTACCTTATATTGACTAGTTATATTCGTGTGTACAGTGGCATCTATAACTCCGAATTTAACTTTGTCTTTTAACATTGTTGCTGCTTTGGCCCAGTTGGGTGCCAATTTTTTGCAATCAGCACTCCACGGCGCATAAAATTGAACTAACCACACGTCATCTGATTTAATCACCAATTTATCAAAACTCGAATCATTCAAGTCAATTACATCACCAGAATTATCTTTTGAACCGGATTTGACACCTAATTTGCCCATTGCATGTTTCGTCGCTGCATACATGGCAGATTCGATAATTTCTGGAGCAGTTCTAGGTCCTTTATAATTTTCTGGTGACTTTTTGTCTATACCAAAAATCTTAATTGTCGGAAATGATCGTACATTGTATTTTTTAGCTAGAGATTTATGCTCATCGGCGTTGATAGCTCCCACCTGCACAATTCCTTGTAGAGCAGTAGCTGCTTTTGTATATTCAGGTACTAGAGTTTTGCAATGTCCACACCATGGTGCAAAAAATTCCACGAGCCAAACGTCATTTTTTTTCAACACTAATTCATCAAAATTATCCGGAGTCAAATTTACTATGTCACTATTGGAATGATAAAGAGCTTTAGAAGCTCCTATCATAAAGATTATATATAGTAAACGAATCATGTCCACGTTATGAAATGAAAACATTACTTTATATTTTTTTCGAGAATACTATTACGTTTTTTTGTTTTAGTAAGCTCAACGATAACTTTTCTGACGTAAAACAAAATATATTATTCATTTGTTCAACGCATCGCCTTGTATGACAACACTTTTTTTATTTATTGGCTTTTGATATACATCATAAGGTCAGATGCCATTCTTACAATTGTTTACTACAAATTCTTATTGAATCATTAACTTATAAATTAATTTTAGTTTTATTGATAAAATTAAATATATATTTATAATTTTTTAAATTATTAATAGCTACTAATGATTGGGAAAATAACATTTTCTTTAAGTAAATTTATTATTAATAAACTTCTTTCGTTTTGGAATAAGTGAAAATACCTTAAAAATTCTCAATTTCCATGGCTTTATAATTAATTAAAATTCAATATTTGTTATTTATATTTTTCAAATAGTGCACAAATAGTCAACAGAATTAGGTGTAAGTGACAATTTGCCTTGAGACAAATCACATGAATTTTCCGATTTGATATTCGATTTAATAAATAAATATTGATATTTATTTTATTATATGAACTGTTCATTTTGAAATTATTGTTTTACTTTTAATGAAAACTAATCAACGTGGTTTTCATATGGTTCAAACCGATTTTATTAATTATAGAGCCAAACATGTGCTTGTATATTCTAAACGCGCAGCCTATTTATTAAATTAAATTTAATATTTTTTTATAAGTGAAGCACATTTTGTATGACTGTATATTCTAGGATGTTTTAAGAAATTTAACACTCCAACAAATTTTACCAAAATTAATAAGCACGATTTCAAACTGAAATTTTCCAAGAATTTGAAATATTCAAAATTGGTTCAGTTATTTTATCAAAAACGTGGATAAATGGTTCAGCTCATTTCTGTTAATTGTAGACAAATTGCATGGCCGATCGTCTGACGAAACTAATCAATCCGAATTCCTAATAACTTTAGATTTATTTTTTTATTTTTTTATTTCCTACAATACTTACAAATGTCGAGTTAAGACTTTTAGTAAATTTATGGAATTTGGAATTATCAGACGTAATAAAGACGTTGTATACATATGTTATAATATATTCATTCGTTATGATATGAACAATATTCTAATGATAATAATATAAACTTAACTATTTTCTTATATTTTTTTTTAAATTGGAACACATATATCCACAGACACATACTTTTTCCTGCGATCTTCAGAAAGAAGATTGAATGGGAAAAATTAGGAGATAAGTATAATTTTAGAACGAGAATTTCAGCATTCTAGATCCTACCCCTACGAAGTAATGCTCAACCAAAAAAAACAAAAAGCAAAGATTTTAGTCGGTATTATGCATCCCAGACAAAAAACTAGTCTGGGATGCATAAATGAATAACCTCCGCTAACAAAAAAAGCACTTACTTTTTTCAATTTTGATCTCAAGCTTAGAGATTTTTGGATTTTCTGTTAAAAGAATTAACAAAAATTAAAAAAATACTGGTTACTAGGGACTAAATCCAAACTAATTTCATACAATAAGCTACTTTTATATAAATCTTTATTCAAACCAATTTGGTGCTATGGTATACAATTGTGGGGAAGTGCGCATAAGACTAATATAGAAATAATACAGAAATTTCAAAACAAATTTTTGAAAATTGCCTTAGGAGCTCTTAAATATATTTCCAACTAGTTGATTCATGTCGACACGAATACACCTACCATAAATGAAGTAATAACAAAACAGCACACAAGTATAGAAACATGATAATCAGTCACCCAAATTCATTAGCAAACTCCTTGATAACAGAGAACTATCCAAGAAGATTGAATAGAAAAGCGCCACTGAATTTAAGCCATCAACTTTCCTGATAAAAAATGAAAGTAACTTAATCATTATTTATAAGAAATTATGTAATAAGTAAATAGTTAAAATTATATAATTATCAATAAAATATTGTGAATTTTATATCGAACGGAAAAACAACTACTGAGTTGTTTTTTCCAACATGCCCTTGTAGTATACAATGTCCCTTTTCGGCCGTCTATTGTAAATTCATCAAATTTATTGAATGTCCTTTACTGGACAATTGTAAATAAAAGAGATAATAAAAAAAACAAAAATTAAAAAACATATTCTGCATTATATAAGATGTGCTTACATGAAGAGATCTCATCCCATAAGCGCCCCGTCTAACCTATTCCCTACATTGTTAGTAACGTACGCTTGTTTATTCTGGTCGAAGCGCCGTGCCGCGTCGCTTTCGCATTTTTCTAAGTAAGTTTTCCTTAAAAATCACTTCTCACTTATAGCGAAAAAGCGAGCCGAGTTATGTGTCGCCCGCCGCCGTCCGCCGGCTGCCTGGAATGTTGATTGCAGGATAAGTGGCGTTTGTTTTGATGGCCGATGCACTTTTTTCCCTTAGCGACCTTGCTCTTTGTGTTGACTAAAAGTTATAGTACACATTGGCGTAGGAAAATGTCTTATGTTTGGGTCTAACAATTGGGGAATTAGGCTCAAAGATCGGCGAGAAAGAGGTCCTACATTATTACCTCAACGATGCTATTTTGAAGTAGAGCGCACAAGGTCTGCAACTAGTCATCGCCCTAAATTGGGAGGCGAAATCAGGCATAGGAACTAGGGTTTATATAAAAACCGACATTTTAGAAAACCGGTTTTCGAATTTTAATTTTACTAAAAAACCGGTTTTTACCGGTTTTCGAATTTTATATAGAAAATAAATTTTTGCTCGAATATTCTGTAATTTATCCGCAAATTTGGTGTAATTTAAAATAGTATTTGACTGAATTTATTTGTTGTTCAATTTTAGAGATAGTAAAGAAAATTGTTTTAATTTTAATTAGTAGAACTAAAAAATAATAGTTTATCTTGATTAAATAACTTTGAAAATAATTATTCGTTATTCATGCATCATTCTCACATAAAAGAATGAAAATATTTTTTTGATAGTGAAAGAAAAGTTGTCGAATAAATAAAAATGATACATTAATAAATAACAAAAATTCATTAAATTAAAAAAAATAATAATAATAATATTAGATACATGTTGATACATATTTAATATCAATTTTAGTTTTAAAAACAATTAAGCTAAACTCAGGTATTGTCTGTTCCGAGCAATTTTAATTAATTAATTTTAAACATTCTAATTGTTTTTTGTTTAATAAAATATGATTTAAAAAAACTGAAAACATCTATGGAATTGCTACTTCGTGTCCTTTGTTTACTCACAAAATTTCTTGAAATACAAAATAGTTTCATACTTGCGACCAAATTATGCTTAATTGTTTTTAAAGCCTGATATAATAATTCTAAGTTGTTTGTTATTCAATTTGTGGCTTCTAGGGTTTAAAACTCTTTTTTTAAGTTTGAGTAGAGAAAGTTACTTCTTCAAGAAGAAATCTCACTGATTTAAATTAATATATACACTGGTATAAAAATCTAAATTAATATATACAATTTCTGGAAACCATTGCAGATTGATAAGATATCAAATGCTATAGAAATGATATGATTTCAAGAATCAAAATGCTTTCATCTATCTTTTATATTTGGCTATATTTGTCATTTTCCATTTATACGGTGAAAAGCGACTTTTTTCACTAAAAAACCGGTTTTCGAATTCCATAATTTTCGCCAAAAATCGGTTTTTAAAACCGACAAACACTAGTTACAACCAGTCATCGCCCTAAATCGGTAGGCGAAATCAGACATAGAAACTTTTTGCCCCAAAGAGAACCGGATGACATAATTTAGTAAAATAGCGAAAAAAAAATTCTATAATTATTAAATAATAAATTCCTATTATTAACTGGGAATTTTACTGACTATTATAATTCTATGTTGTTTGTTTGATATGTGTTATGTATTTGATTTGGTCAGGAATTCGGCTTCATCAAAATGATTCGCATTGATCGAGGCGCCAAACGTCGCCTAGCCAAATGCCATTATTTTGAATTTTATTAGGAAAATCAAACTAATTTTGCGAACAGCGCCGCTCATGACACCCACATGAGAATCGGTGGCATTTTATTCGCTAGAGGAATGTTATTATTAATTGCTTTACACGCCGCCAATTTGTAGAATATGCATTTGCTCAAATGTAGAAAAAGATAAAACGAGACGTGAGTTCAACTCGATAATTAAAAGTTGGAAATTAATTGTCTTTTTTTAATATAAATACAGTGTTTCATATCATCATTATTATATTCATATCATCCATTATTTCAACATTAATTATAAGCTATCTTGTAAAAACAACACTAGACTTCTCTCCATGGGGTGAATTCTAAATATTTATGTATCTGCATTTTGAATTTTTTTATAAGATTTTTTATAGCTCATAAGCTTATTATCATTTTCTATTATTTTCATATTAATTATAAGCCATTTGGTAAAAATAGCACTAAACTTCTATCCATGGAATGAATTCTAAATTTTTATCTGCATATATAATTTTTTTCTAAGATTTTTTATAGCCTATAAACTTATTATTTTCTATTATTTCCACATTAATTATAAACCATTTTGTAAGAACAACACTAGACTTCTCTCCATGGTGTGAATTCTGAATATTTATGTATCTGCATTTATAATTTTTTTATATGATTTTTTATAGCTTATAAGCTTATTATTATTTTCTATTATTTTAACATTAATTATAAGCTATTTTGTGAAAACAATACTAAACTTCTCTCCATGGAATAAATTCTAATATTTTATTTATCTGCATTTATATTTTTTATAAGATTTTTTATAGTTTATAAGCTTCTTATTATTTTCTATTATCAACATTATCTTGTAAAAACAACACTAGACTTTTCTGAATGGGGTGAATTCTAAATTTTTATTTTTCTGCATTCATGATTTTTATTCTCATTAGATTTATAATTTTAAAGAAATAAAAAAAATCTTGTAAAGATATTCAG